ATCTTGACCTGCTTTTCTGTGATTTTTCTCGTTTTCTCCACACCAACCGCATGCAAGTGGGCAAAAGCGCTATTTTCTGCTTTATTGTTATTTTTGCTTAACCTATCCTATAGTATAATTATAATTTATTTCTGCTTTATTCAGGGTTTCATTGTATTATATGCATGCGGAATAAATGGCCTGTGTGCCATTGCGCACGACCGCCGCACACAATTGAGAATGGTACTGAAAATAAATAGATTCACAGTAATTTTTGTATTACTTCTAGGGTTTCCTGCTCATGTTTGAAACTGGGTCTCCAATTTCCTTATTAATAAGAAATGGTTTGATGATAAAAAAGGGGGCATAGATATAGACCGCAGATCTGAATGTCATGGTCTATGGAGCAGCCGGGCTGCTCCTCCTGCTTCTGATGAATTCTGCTCACTGCTGGAGTAAAGCAATTGCAGAACCTAAAAAAAAACAGTTGTGCCTTCAGCACAGATGCGGGTGGTGCGCCAGGAGGGGCATAAACTAGTGTGTGTGGTCACGATTAACGACGCACAATAGTTCGTCATGACCCGAATCGCGTCGGAATTTCTCTGGTGACGTGAAGCGGATTATCTTTACGCAACAAGAAGCTTTTATTACCACTAAAGTTGCAAGTTTGCTCGTTGGAGAGCCGGCGCAACGCATTTGCAATAAGTGCTTTTTAAAAATGTACTATGCACCCTTAACTTGCATTTGCAGCTGAGGCATGTGAAAGAGAATGAGAGCTATTGGATGCCTGCGTCTCCATCAGTGCCAGCGTTTCTCCATGAGTTCAGTGACGGTCTCCGGCTGCTCCAAATCATTGCGCACGGCGCACCAACTGAATCTAGACGCTCAGTCTCGGCTGTTCTCAATCTGAGGGCTTTGAACATCTTTTATGAGCACCTTAGCAATTAAAGCACTTGATTTGACTCGTTTGGACAGGTGTGATTGTAAATACATCGCGCACGCAGCTGGATTTTCGATTCAGCACCACGGCCGCGGACAGCTCCCGTTCCCCCGTGACGCGCGTCTGGATGGCTGCTGCTCGCGTTTCTCTGTCGCGTCTCTGATCCGCTCTGTTCGCGATGGCATCACACGGGTTTTGGTTTCTGGGTGCTGAAAACGCGTCTGGAAACGGCAGTGAAAGCCCGAACACTCGTAAGTGACATGGCGTTCAAAAAGAAGCTTGAAAATATGCTGCATGATTGTGTTTATGTATATTAGTGGGGCCGTGAGACAAAGAAATGCGACATTTGTTGTGTCAAGGTTCATTTAAAACCTTGAAATGTCATGTCAGCTGTGTCGTATGATAATAAACACCCGATTTTAGTTCGGTATTTCAAGGCCAGTTCCAAGCCATGGATTATTGATGCTGTTAATGGAAGTTTTATGACGGATATGGTGTTTAAATCCCACGCGTGTGATCGTTTCAGCCAGAGCATGGTGCCAGGCGGCGGCCCAGAAATTCACAGGAGGCATCGGCTCCAAATTATGTGGTACGTTTATTTTTAAACATGAGGTTTACATTTGTATCGCATCTACCTTCGTAAAATGTGATATGGTTACCAACAGCGCGAGATCAGAATATCTATTTCATACTGAACTGTCCAATGTTATAAAGAACATTTTATTTTCTTCTTTAGAGTCTAGACACTGAAACGAATTGGGTAAAAGTAACTCTTTCCTACAGTGTGAGATGCTGTTGTTTTATTCATTTAATAGAGTATAATCGTTTCTTCTGTAGCTCTGTTAAATGTCGGGGAGGCTGAGAAAGCAGCTCAAGCCGCAGATAAAGCAGAAGATGGGTCTACAGCCGAGAGCTGCGGCTGTAATAAACCCTGTAACTGCCCCAAAGCCGCCGTGTGCTTCTCTGATCTCTATTCAACAGGTAAAGCACAATCACATCGCTAGCACAACTGAAAAAAAGGCCAAATTACTTTAATAAGCTGGTCTCATGGTGGGCTATTTTTATGACACGACGTGGTTTTATTCGACTTAAATATATTTCTATTTATTTTTGTGTTGTATGTTCACCCAGACTGCGGTTTTCGTTAAAAAACGTTTTGTTTTTTTTATTAAAAAAAATATGTTGTTATAAATAAACAAAATAAATATGTTGGCCTATATTTTGTTATCTATTACTTGATTTTTTTCACGTCGTCTGTGTAATACTCATTTGTAAATGTCATTTCCGAGTGAGTAAAAATAACTTTAAAAATTAATTAAAATAAAATGAATCCCTGTCTCTGCATTGTCGGGTAAATTAACGGATTAAAATAAAATGTTATTGTACATAAAAATGTAAAAAAAAAAAAAAAAAAATGCATTTCGGAGATCTTGTCCTTTGTTTCTTTCTCAAGGTTAAATGAAGCTATTTTACCACATGCAATCATCTGTTATTTTAATGCATTATTATTTTTTACAGATCTTTTACCTGCACTGAATGGGGACGCGAAGACTATGAATTTCCTGCAGGAGGTTGTGGATATAATGCTGGCTTATATAGTGGAATCTTTTGACAGGTCAACGAAAGTGATTGATTTTCACTATCCAAATGAATTGCTCCAAAGGAATAATTGGGAGCTTTCGGACGAACCCGAGACTCTAGATGATATTCTGATCAGCTGTCGCGCCACGCTCAAATACGCCATAAAAACTGGTAAGCGTTTTCAGTTGTAATTTGTAAAGGATAGCCTATACTCTGTAAAAAATAGTAACCTGCAATTGTTGCCTTAAAAGGGTTATTTCTATTGGATCTAACCCAAGACAATTCGTTTTGTTGGTATACATAACTAAAATTATTTTTCAGTGTATAACAGTTTTTTATATTTTATTGTGTATTCTAATATTCATATTCATTATATCTATATATATAGATATATATAATCTAGCATGCATTCTGCTATTGATTGTCTCGCTTGTAAAACATGTTTTTTAGCTGACAGAACCGCAAGTATCAGTGTGTGTTTGTGCCTGAAGGCGAAACGAGTCAGATATGAAATGAATGCGTCTAGGGACGATTTTATTTTCTCTGGTGGCATTTTAACTGACAGGCATTATTTCGAAAAAGTGATTGTCGTTTTGGGAATAATCATGAATGATCATAAAGATTGATTGATTGATTGATTTCCTTGTTGTCTGCGCCGGTCAGAGATTCGTTTGAGCTCCATCTGAAGTAAGCGACTATTAATAGAGGGCCATGCATACACTCTAAAAAAAATGCTGGGTTGTTTCAACCCAATGTTGGGTCAAATATGGACTAACCCAACTGTTGGGTTAAAAAGCTAATTTAAAAATGTGACCAAAATGTAACCCAACAGTTGGGTTAGTCCATATTTGACCCAACATTGGGTTGAAACAACCCAGCATTTTTTAGATTGTAGATTTAGTGGGACATGAATATTTTTGTACGTTAAATGATTCATTTTGTATTTCCCCTCTATGTTATCTCTATCTTCAGCACACCCCAGGTATTTCAATCAGCTCTCCACTGGGTTAGACATGGTTGGCTTGGCTGCCGATTGGCTAACGTCCACTGCCAACACCAATATGTGAGTGTGGGTCTCCTTCC